ACTGCTCTCCCAGTCATCCAAATGGAGTAAATTATGGCACACTTTGACAGACCCAAAGACTGGAACTAGATGGATGTGAGTAATGCTACTGATGAAGCAGGCCTTAAACAGGAATTTCTGACAAATGAACAGTTTATCTGTTTTGATAATACCCATGAATAAGGATGAGGGCCACTGAAAATAGGTTCTATCTTGTAAAGGTCCACCTTCTTAGCTTAGCTGATTTTTTCACAGCCTTTATTTCATTCAAGTACACACACACACACACGCGCACACACACACACACACACACACACACACACACACACACACACACACACAAATAAACAATTAAGAATGAAAAGGAACAGAAAAAAGACAAAATCTCTTGTTAATCTCTGCCCCATTTAAAATATTTTTAAATAAATAAATAAAATAATATCAATAGCTTCCAATATTTGAAAGTTTTTGGAAAAAAAAATGTAATTTGTTAACTTGCCCAACACTCTTTAGGCCATTAATTCAATACGTAGGTTAAATTAAATGCTGAATGTTATACTTTATTTTAATTAATTTAGATTTTACCTGATTTATTTCTACATACTGTTGTCCATTATTTAAATAATTTGCCAGCCAACTTAGAGCCACTTTCTATCTTTGTTGTTGTTTAATAACTTTGTGGGATATTCCTTCTTGCTTTTTCTTATTATTTTGATTCATTTATTTTCATATAACTTATATTTAAGTTCTGCTTTTGCATTTTTTTCCTTTAGGAAATCTGCATACAGTACCCTTTTCTTTTACATGCATTTATTACACCCTTTGTGATCCAAGGTTTTCTTCCATCATCCATGATTATTTTTCTCGTCACTAGAGGGCGGTGTTTTTCAAAAATGCTTTGATTGGAGTTATAAAAGCTTGATAGGCTACATTAACGTTTTCCACATGGACGTTTCTCCATTCATGGCTCTTAAGCTAGTCTTTGAGAGACTGGATTGCCCTGCGCACCACAAGGTTCATCATGTCTGGTGACCTTCATTCCAAATGCAAGGTCTGCCTGAACACCAAACACGCTGGCCTTGCGTTGACCCCGCAGGCCTTCTGTTCCTTTCGTGCCCTCTTTCCGATGGAAGAGAAGGCCCATAGGGTGGACTCCTTCACAGATGCTGCTGAGACCTCTGCTGCTGTTGAGACAATTTTTTCTAAACCTTCGCTGATGATCTTTGCCCCAAGTTACAAGTCAGATGACCCAAACCTGGCTGGGCAGTCTGATGTGGAATCATCTAGCCAAGCGAGCGCGCTCTTCGAGGCCCTCGTGGGGGAACACGTTTGTCCCATTTGGTGGGCGGCCGCTGGCACCCCCTCACTCAGGCACGCATAAATGTGCTAGAATTAATGACAGTACAGAAGATGGCTCTGCACTTTGCACCCCCTGCTCGAAGGTCGTCATGTGATGGTGCGTTTAGGCTCACTGCTGAAGGTAGCCTGAGAGCTACTGTGCTGGGCCCACACGAGCCTTCTGTCAGTCAGAGCCATTTACATTCTGGAAATGCTGAATGTGGGGGAGGACGTCATGTCCAGAGGAGGACCACACCACCCAGAGCAGAGTCTCCATCCTGATCTCATCACTCAGATCTAGGACAAGTTCGGGAAAGCAGCTGTGGATCTGTTTGCATCTCGCAAGTATGCACAATGCAGGCTCTGGTTTTCCCTGAAACCGCGAGACCAGCCCCCACTGGGGGTGGATGCTTTTGCGCACAAAACATGGCCCAGGCTCCTGCTTAGTGCTTTTCCCCCCAGTTCCGCTGATTCCCTGTGAACGAGACAGGCAGGAACAGCTATCAGTCATTCTGATAGCTCTTCATCACAGCTCGGCTACCTGGTTTCCAGACCTACAGCTGCTTGTGACAGTGCACCCATGGCGCCTGCCGTGGAGGGGAGATGCACTCCTTTAGGCAAATGGAGACATCAGACACCCTCAGATCTTGGGTCAGCACCTATAGGTCTGGCCGTTGAGTGTTTACATTTAGTGACGTGTGGCCTCTCGCTGGAAGCGGTTCGGACAATCCAGAGTGCTCGCACTTCTTCTACTGTAGCGTCATACTGAGCAACACGGGCTGCATTTCAGCGCTCGTGTGAGGAACGGTGCCTGGATCCGCTCTCCTGTGCTCTAGCTTGCGTTCAGTCCTTCTTACAGGTAATGACACACAGGGTGCTGGTGTTCAGCACTATTAAAATGTACGCTGCAGCTATTTCATCCTGTCAACAGGGGTTCAGGAACAGACCTGTTTTAGACATCCCCTCAGTAAACGCTTAAAGAGTGTTCAGAGACTGCGTCCCACACCTCTTTCACTGGTTCCACAACGGGACTCGTCTGTGGTCCTGCGCGGCCTGTCACAATCTCCTTTCGAAAAGAGTGAGTGACCTGGCTGCACTCTCGTATCCCCATCTTGTCTCAGAATGTGGGATGATGGGGGCTCAGCTGTATTAACCCAGCTCTCACCCCCAAAAGCATCAATAGTTTGTTCAGATCCACAATCAACACAATGGATGGATTTTTCACTCGAGTCAATCCCCCTCACAAGTCTGAGGAGGAGGCTACATCCCACCTGCTGTGTCCAATTATTAATATTGAGACTTTTTGTGCTCTGCATTTTATTTATTTAGTTCTACTCTGTACGGAAGAGGATTAGAGCCATTGACAAGGATAAAGAGAAAAAGAATTCTGACTTTTTTCTCAAAATTCTGAGAAAAAAGTCAGAATTCTTCTTCTTTTCTTTTTTCTTTTCAGTGGCCCTAATCCTCCTCCATACCTCTGACTTAACAGAGGGAACTGACCTTTGTTTAATACAAATTTTCTTTCTGTGAGGAAAATTAAACATCCAACTCTCCTGAACTTCTTCACACTATCTATCTATCTATCTATCTATCTATCTATCTATCTATCTATCTATCTATCTATCTCTATCTATCTATCTATCTATCTATCTATCTATCTATCTATCTATCTATCTATCTATCTATCTATCTATCTATCTATCTATCCATCTATTTATCTATCTATCTATCTATCTATCTCTATCTATATCTATCTATCTATCTATCTATCTATCTATCTATCTATCTATCTATCTATCTATCTATCTATCTATCTATCTATCTATCTCTATCTATCTATCTATCTATCTATCTATCTATCTATCTATCTATCATCTATCTATCTATCTATCTATCTATCTATCTATCTATCTATCTATCTATCCATCTATCTATCTATCTATCCATCTATCTATCTATCTATCTATCTATCTATCTATCTATCTATCTATCTATCTATCTATCTATCTATCTATCTATCTATCTATCTATCTATCTATCTATCTATCTCTATCTATATCTATCTATCTATCTATCTATATCTATCTATCTATCTATCTATCTATCTATCTATCTATCTATCTATCTCTATCTATCTATCTATCTATCTATCTATCTATCTATCTATCTATCTATCTATCTATCTATCTATCTATCTATCTATCTATCTATCTATCTATCTATCTATCTATCTATCTCTATCTATATCTATCTATCTATCTATCTATATCTATCTATCTATCTATCTATCTATCTATCTATCTATCTATCTATCTCTATCTATCTATCTATCTATCCATCTATTTATCTATCTATCTATCTCTATCTATATCTATCTATCTATCTATCTATATCTATCTATCTATCTATCTATCTATCTATCTATCTATCTATCTATCTATCTATCTATCTATCTCTATCTATCTATCTATCTATCTATCTATCTATCTATCTATCTATCTATCTATCTATCTATCTATCTATCATCTATCTATCTATCTATCTATCTATCTATCTATCTATCTATCTATCTATCTATCTATCTATCTATCTATCTATCTATCTATCTATCTATCTATCTGCAGTAGAGTTACAGCTACATGTCACAAATGTCACACAGGAACTTTTAATTATAATTAATGTAATTTTGTTTAATTCCACCTAGGGGTGGTTAATATCATGTCATTCATAATATTACCAGTTATTATTTCCCGCCAAGAAAAAAAGTCTATCATGTTAAGCTAACTTCATTTGTGTAGTTGCATCCGCTAAACAGAGGATTATGTTCATGTGGGTCATCAGCATGAAGTTATTGAAGTTATCTAAGTAAACATGGCTAGAATCTCAGTTTCACCTGTAATCTGTTTCTCTAAGTGTGTGTGCTGCTGTAATGAGTGGATGTCCCCACTGTGGGACCAATAAAATTTACTCTGTTCTATTATATTAATTCCAGTAGGAGAAAATAAACGTTGGAGGAATTTTGGCCATTCCATGCTTCCGGACCAGTAACCAGGTTATAGAGGGGTTTGTCTCACGAACAGGAAAAACGCACTGGAGAAGCAGTGAATTAAGACTTTAGGATTCCTAATGTTTTAGTTCACTGCGTCACCAACTGATGTAGGAGAGGCAACATGTGAGTGAGTCACCGCGGTAGGAAGCCCAGCTTGCTGTGAGTGAGGATCTGTGGCTGATGAGTGAAAACAACAAAAAAAAAAAAAAAAAAACATTCAGGACTGAAGCTCCGTCAACACCGGCTGGTAACACGGCTGCATTTCTAAAAAAAGCATGTCATTTTGGCGGCGTGCGCAGCCGCAGCTCACGGTTCTGGGAGAAGGAACCGGACATGTCCGTCCCATCAACAGCAGGTGCAGCTCACGCTCCGCTCATCTCACAACCAGAGCGGAAAAAGGCACGTCGGCTTGGATCATACAGATGGGATTCTGTGTTTGAAATAACGGCCAGTTATTGTTACTTAAGTGTTGTTTGTGTGCAAGTTGTTCAGTAGCTAATGCTATAATTAATATAGTCTTTTTTTTTCATAAGCCCTACACACTGTGCGTGATGCGCGTCTGGGGAGCGCAGGCGCTGGTTACCACGCGGATGTTTTTATTTTTTTTTAGAAAAGGTAACATACTGTAGCGGGCCAGGGCTGTTCGGGGTTTGTTCTGTTATTGCAGTTATGTGTTTGTTGTCATGTTGCTATGGTGACGGGTGACGCGCTCTCTCGGCGACTGTTTTTCCGGTGAGAGCGCGCCTTTTTGTTGTTGTTGCTGTGTCCGCGCTGAGGTGTGTAGATTAAACGGGTGCTCCCAAAGAAACCTCTGTCTCCCCCGTGACTGAGCTTGCCACAATACAAACAAAATGCAACCACGCGGATGGTCGGACGCGGAAAAACATGGCGGACTGATAAGAACTAGTATGGCAGAGGTTCGTAAATACAGACATTTGTATGATTCAGCTCTCAGAGATCACCGTGATCAACATGTTGTAAATAATTCTTGGAGAGAAATAGCTCGCACTGTCGGAAAAGACGAGGACGCTGTTAAAAATGCTGGAATGCCGTGTTGTAAACAACAGTCATTTCTACTTCTACTATGGTGTAGTGTTGGATGCATGCCGTAGAGCTCCATGCTGCCCCGTTCAGTTTGGGAGAATATTGGCTCACCGCAGAGACAAGCCGCATGCTCAATGCGTGACAGCCTTCACTAAACCCATTTCCAACATGGCGGGGACAGTCTGCGCGCAGCTGAGAACGAGGCACCGCTTTACCTTACTGTAACGCTTCTTAATTAATGAAACAGCCATGTTTTCAATACGGTTGGATGAAGAACGTGAGTAGATACCAGGCAGCGGTAACATCTAAGCCAAGACGTCATTAAAAGTAGGTCGTTAAATAGCGCTAATTAATTAGCTCCTTCGTTAGCTTGTTACCGTTAGCTAAACAGCTACGTGAGAAGAGAATCAACATGACTCACCAACATACTTTAGTCCCCCGCCTGCAGCAGCCGAACTTCATTTTACAGAAACTGCAGATTACCCTGAAACTTTTGTTGCTGGAAAACGCCCAATACGCTCTGGAACAAGACCTTCTCCACTTCACCGACCAGGTAATGTTAACGTAGGCAGGAACTCAGTTCGTTTATGTTAGGGTGACCATATTTCCATTTCCAAAAAAGAGGACAGGAGATCTATGCCTACCGATGACATCACACTAGGGCTTGGCGATATGGCCTAAAATCAATATCTCGATATGATTAGGATGTAACCTCGATAGCAAATGAACGATAACTACAGGTATGCGCAGAAACAAAAGTTGTCCACTAGATGGGGCTGTCACATGTATTATGTTGAGTCACATTTTTACATGACTCAAGGTGGTGCAGCTTCCTAAAGGGACATGAACGTTGCCAACCTCCACACATCTTTTCATTTTTTATTATCAAATTTATTGACATGGAAAAATTATCTCGATAAGAGTCAGAAATTTCGATAACGATACATTTATTGCCCAGCCGTACGTCACACTATGGCAAAACCACATTGGGACCCATTTTTTCCCCAGGTGAAGAGCTAAAATTAATGATAAATGACCCGCACTTGTATAGCGCCTCGCAGTCAGGACTCCAAAGCGCTTTACACTACAGTGTATCATTCATCCAATCACACACACATTCACACACTGATGGTGATGAGCTACAATGTAGCCACAGCTGCCCTGGGGCACACTGACAGAGGCAAGGCTGCCGAGCACAGGCGCCACCGGTCCCTCCGATTACTGGACAACCCGCTCAACCTGTTGAGTTACTGCTGCCTAATATCAGATTCTGCCAACAAAAAGGCTCTAAAACAATTCATATGTAAATATTTTGCATATTTATTGCAACATCTCATTTTTCTGCTGCTTTAGTGCTGCAACAACGTTTTATTAATAAGAAATTATTATACCTTTTGTTTTACTACAGCATCTGTAAGCTTCCTGTGCACAGATTATTAAGGATGCTTGTTCAGCTGTGAGATTAGACGATTGGGTCGATGATGAAAAAAAAGTTTGTCATGGACCATGGAAACTTCAAAACTCAGTCACACACCCAGGGCCATTTCAAGGTATTTTGGGGGCCAAGGCCAGACAGAACACCAACCCCCCACCCCCACCCCGTTACTGGGCTCCCCCCAGAAGCCTCTGTGTAATTCATACCCTGTCCAGAAGTATTAAATATGCAGTGTTTTTAAACACACCTCAGACATTACTGACATGTTCTAATATTGTCAGATGAAAAACAAAATTTGTCGGGCACACTGTCTCATCTCCTTCTTTTCTATAAAAATATGTCAGTAACAAAACAGTTTGAAAGCCACTTTTTCTCGATTCTCTGAAAGTTTCCATGGAGTCCGTGACAAACATTCATTTTCATTGATCCATCCTCTAATCTCACAGCTGAAACAACACATTCTTAATAATCTAAAGCTTTAACAATGCTGTAGTAAAACACAAGTTATAAGCATTTCTTATTAATATACCATTGTTGCAGCACTGAAGCAGCAGAAAAATGAGATTTTGCAATAATTATGCAAAACATTTACATATCAATTGCTTTAAAGCTGTTTTATTGGCAGAGTCTGATATTAATTTTAGCTATAAGCTAGATGTTCTGACAGAACACTGGGATAAAACGGATCCCAGCGTGGTTTGTATGGTGTCATACTGTGACGTCATCGATATCGATAGGCACAGATCCCCTGTCCTCTTTTTTTGACAATGGAAATATGGTCACCCTAATTTAACACAATTTGCTTAAAAGGTTCTTTAAAAAAGTTTCTTTAGGTTTTTTCTCTGTTTTAAAAAGACTAGATGAATACTTTACATAATTGGCACCTAGTTTCCAAGCGCGTAAGTGCTTGCTTCTGCATAATAAACATATCAGGAGTAATGGAGTTTTTGTATTCTGCCAATCGGAAATTTTGAACACAGCTATAATATAGTTTTCATTTACCGCAACCATAATTAAATGAGTCGAATGAAAATTTGTGCTTTCATATTTTATCATATTAATTTCTTGCTTGCTCTTTACATGGAGGCTTTCTCCAGTAATCAGTGAGCATTTTCATGAACTCTTAGATATGTGGTATATTTCTTGAAAAAGGTCCTTTATCCACCTTTTTCCTGGGCAGTTCATTTGTATACCATTGTGCCAACAGCATCTGATAATATACCGGAAGTAGCACATAGTTGTTGGCTGTTTCACAATGCCAAGGAACCTCGCCTTGATGTCTTGGCCCCGCCCTGGTTGCCTAGGAGATACGTCATCAGGAGCCGCCAAGACGTGTTCCAATGTTCATGTTCTGCCAAGGCGTGTGTTCTCAGTTTGTTAGCTGTTTAGCTAGCTGAAAAAGGATACATGGAAGTCGTCTTGTAGCCTAGCCTTGGTGAATAATTGCCCAGAATGCACCATGGTATTTCCAAAAAGATGGCGGGTCTGAAGTCGGCAGCTACTTCGGGGACAATTTTCAAGTTTTAAAGTAAGTCAACTAATTTAAAATGTTTTTTTTAGATCCAAATAAGTTATCTATGGTTGGTTAGTTGCTTATAGTTGCAGCTTCGGTGACTAGCGGGTAGTAACTCACTTATATATTTAACAAATATATACACAATTTTAAAAGTAAAAGGCTCATTGTATATTTATATTGAAACTAATACATGTAAATAATAACATTATCTCCTGTGTCACATGTAGTTACGTGACCGCTGTGGAAGCCGTTGTCACGTGATGCAAGTCTGTTCCATTTAACCGTTTTCTTTGACCAAGGAAGGACAGTGACCTCGTAAGCAAGGCGCCTGGCCTTGCAAGACATCACCTCGAAGGCCAAGTGCCTTGACATCGAGAAACACCCACTGTCCTTCCTTGGTCAAAGAAAACGGAACAGACTTACCTCTCATGACCATGGCTCCCGTGGCAGTCGTGACACGTGAGTTCAAGTAATATCCCATACGTAAAGGTTTCACTGTAAATTTTAAAGAGCCTTTTATGTTTTAAATTGTGTATTTACTGGTTGAATAAAATATGTAAGCGAGTGACTCCCTGCTAACCACCGAGCCTACAGCTACTAAGCAACTAATTAATCATAGACAAGTGCTTTGGATCTAAGGAATATTTTCGATATCAGCCCTATAGCTACAATTAGTTGACTTATATTTATACTGGAAATTTGTCCCCGAAATAGCAGCTGGCTCCTGATCCACCATCCTTTTGAAAATACTGCACTTAGGGCTGGGGATAAACGATTATTTTTAAAACGATTATTCTGACGATTATTTTATCGAATAGTCGACTATTCTAATGACTATTTATACAATTAATCTAATGATTAATTTTCTATTGCACAGTTAATAAAAACCAAAAAATCTCCAATAAATTCCTCCAAAAAATTGATTAATTGTTACTGTAAGAGAATAAACACTACAGGCCTCCCATTTTGTATAACACTGCTTTTATTGTCTTGGTTACGTTCTGGTGACTTGTAGAACTTGGGAGTGCAGGCTGCTGCCTGAGAGGTGGTAGAAGATGGAGTGTCTCCATGCTGCTTTGTTTTGGTCACTTATGTGCGTGAAGCGAGTGGTCTTACGACTCTTCCTGGGGAGTTTGGCTCGTGTGCAAAAAGGAAGGGACAGTAATGTGGGATTTAAAAGTTAAAATGATGATCAGGTTTATTTACAACTACAAAAAAACAAATCTTTCCATCCACAGGTTGAGAGTAATAAAACTAATTCTGCCTGTGGGGAATTAAAACAAAAGTACAAATAAGTAGGGATGTCCCACTGGGCAAAGATTACTGGGTTTTGGACCAAAATAAGAATCTCCTAAGTTCCAAACTCTAAACTGGGTGGTTAAACCAAACTCAAGGTGATATTTTAAACTAAACCGAAAATCCACAACACTCTAAATGTAATAAAAGGGAGATCTGCACCACAAAAGATGAACTCTAAACCAAAACGTAACAGCTTATCCAAACGCATGAAACTGTTAGCGAAAATGCTAACAGTAGCTTTACCAACGTTAAGTTCAAGTTACCAAGTTTAAATGAACCAAAAACACTCAGCAGCAAACAGACCAGCATGGAGGAGAGACTGCTACCACCAAAACAGCTCTCCTAATGTCTGAAAGAAGCTCCTTTATGAAGGGAGAAACACTCCCGGTGATTTTCTGCATCTGCGATAGACACGAAGCAGCGCATTTGACCCCGGAAGTTGTTGTCCGTTGCCGGGAGACGAAGGTGGGCAAAACACGAAAGGAATCTAGTAGCGGACGGACGTTGTTCCGGGTCTTTGGTATTTGGCGGAGATGTTAGTGAAGGCGGAGAAGAGGGAGAACTAGAGGAAAAACAGGCAGATTCCACCTCTATTTACAAACTCCTGGGGATGCAACAAGTGGGCGCGGTGCGTCGACTACCGGATCTGACGTCGACAAATTTTTAGAATCGAGCCGTCGACGTCATCGAGGCTTTGCTACAGCCCTAACTGCACTGTATTCTGGGACATTTTTGAACAAGAGAAGGCAGCAAGGCACCTCGCATGTATCTTTGCTAAGTTAGCCAAATGGCTAACAAATGGAGGACAGATGCTTCGGTAGAACATGAACATTGGAACACGCCTTGGCAGTTCCTGATAACATATCTTCTACGTAATTGGGGTGGGACTGAGGCATGAGAAACACCCATTGGCTTGCAGGGTGAGGTTTCGTTTCTTGCAGTTCTTTTGAAAATTTCAAGAGGATTTTAAAAACTATTTGCCACCAAAGAATATACTTGCATGTCTTGGGGACATGTTGTACTGTTTGTGCTTGTATTAACAACAAGTAAAAATTCAAATTTGGGTTACAAGAGCAATGTTTGGAACATGCACTCCACTTTTGCTGTACATCAGTGCATGTCTGACTGCATTCTCAACCTAAATTACAAATATTGCAAAAAGATATACATAGACTTTAGACCAGGGGTGTCAAACTCTATTTCACACTTTGCCAAAATGAAAACCTGGCAGGAAGTTGCGGGCCAAATATTTTTTGAAAAAGTGATGGCAAATGTGCACATTTTCCTTTATCTACAGATATGT